CATTTAATTTTAGCACGATCCCTTGCAACCAGCCAATGGTTGCTCGCAGGGGCATGTCTCCTCACCACGGCCAGGGAGTCGGTTGCAGTATCGATCCGAACTTTACGCACCTGAAGCGCACCTTCTATACATTACTCTTTGCAAAAGAATACTCGCATCGTTTTTACATATCTAAATCTACTATCTTCTTCTTTTTTTTCTTTTTCTTCTTTTTCTTCTTCTTCTTCTTCTTCTTCTTCTTCTTCTTCTTCTTCTTCTTCTTCTTCTTCTTCTTCTTCTTCTTCTTCTTCTTCTTCTTCTTCTTCTTCTTCTTCTTCTTCTTCTTATACTACTTTAACTTCTAAACTTATCGCGTATACATCGAATATACGCTTTTTACATGTGATTCATTTTTGTGAACAAGAAAAAGAAAAGAAAAGAAACAAATGTGAATTTTGAAACGTGAAATGCATCAACCAGATCATCTTTCGTATTTTTGCCTAATCAATCGCGATAATTCAATGAATTTATCTGAATACTTAAGTCGAGTTCATTTTTTTTTCTTTTTTTTTTTTTTTTCTTTTTTTTTCCCCCTTAATGTTCATTCCAAATACGTAAGTGCATTCGTATTTTTTCTTACGATATTTATTATAGGAATAATAGAATCGACGTAAAACGATCTATGAATCAAGCCATATATTTGTTGTTTGTCTTTCTCTATAGTCGAAGAGATCTAATGATAAATAAATAACTAATCGTGCTAATGTTAAACCTAATTGTTTTCATTCGATAATTGTTACACAATGTCTCTCTCTCCCTCTCTCTCTCTTGCTCTCGTCGATCTATACACATGTATAGATAGTATGGAGAGAACGAATAATATTGTTAAAACAATAATTGATACACCTCTATATCGATCGTATTTGCTCGTAAATCGAGTTCAACGAGACTATGACCTACGTGATTTCTTTCTCTTCGATGAAACGTTCACAAAGGTTTTTTCTCAAGGTGGTATTGAAAAAAAAAATATATATAATAATAATAATATTAATAAAAAAAAAAAAAAAAAAAAAAAAAAAAAAAATGGGGGAAAAAAAAGAAGAAAAAAGAAAAAGGGTAAAAAGGTCAACTGCGATATGCATTTGACCAGAAGAAAAGTGTGTGTTTGTGTGTGCATGCACTTAGGTACTATAGATATACTTTAAAGCTTTACTTAAAGAAAGAAAGAAAAAAAAAAGAAAGAAAAAAACGAGAAGATACACTTTGTATAATATGTATAATGACGTGAGATTGTAGTGGTTAGCCAAATAAAAATTCGTCGTGCGATTACGGTATAATCGGTTTTCTATAACAAATTTATCGATAAATAAATAAACACGATAAGAGTGTTATGTAACGTAATAACTCACCCCTAAGGAAGGCCAGCCGATATCCAGAGGAACTATGGCACCCTCGCTCGAGGGTGATAGGACTTCCGGTGAATGTACGATGATCGACGACCAAAATTCAGGATATAGTTTCATCGTCGACAAAAATAAAGTATTATCGAAGGAAATTTCTTCTTTTTAATTGCATAGACAATTTTTAATTATCTATTTAATCCGATATCGAATCGATTCGATACAATAAAATGGACGAAATAATTCCCATTGAATCGACATGACAAGATCGACGAAAATAAATTCAAACGATCTGAAAAAGAAAAAGAAAAGAAAAGAAAAGACGATAAATAAATTTCAATTTGGATCTGTTTTATGTAAATAAAAATAATTTTGTATTATTACATGGTTATTTTCTTTTTTGGAATGAATTTTAAATGACATGTTAAATTTAATGTTAACGACGTTGTAATGATCCCGGTTACAGTCAGTATTCAGTTTGAAATAAAATCTAACAGTAAGTGCACTTAAAAATCTTCCTCAGTGCAAATACGGTAAAAGTAACAAACCCGATAAGGGATATCTGATTCCAGTGACTGCACTAGCATCTGCCATCGCATAATGGTATTTTACTAATATATCCTGTCAAATGAAAATAACAATCCGTTTGACGTATTCGAGTTAAATGACGTATCACGTTTATCTCAATTTTTCCAAATTCTTTCTTTATTTCTTTTTTGTCTTTTTCCTTTTCTCTTTTTCCGTCATTTATAAGTCAAGGAAAGACAATTTTGGAAATGCGATCGATCAGAATATACAGTTGCATTACATATACATTCATATATATATATATATATATATATATATATATATATATATATATATACATACATATATACATGTAAAATGTACTATTTGTGTACAACAAAATATATAAAAGTAATACTATGTTACATATATCTAAAATTATTTTTAAATTATATTATATGTGTATATATATATATATATATATATATATATATATGTGTATAATGGATATTAAAAATATAATAAAAATTTTCTTCTTACCAAAAATACAAGTCGATTCAAAAATATTTGATATATGAATAAGTCGAAGGAACTGATTCGACGTATGTATATTTGAATATTTAATTAAAATGTTAATATTCACGAAAGATTTTCTTTTCACTTTTCTATCTTTCAACATTTAAGCTATAAATTAATTCGTTCGTTCGTTTCTTCTGGTTTTTTTTTTTTTTTTTTTTTTTTTTACTATCATAGAAAACACGAGAAAAATTCCAAGTTCATGAAAATGTTATAGCACTAAAATATCAAAATGTCGTGAAGAGAAAACAAACTATCTCGAAGATCGTACACCCTCGAAAATCACCTTAGCCTCTATTTGTATCCGTAAATCATCATCAACACTAACCACTTTAGAATATTAATGTAATAATTCTTCATAAAACGATGATATTTAACGATCTACTTGATCAACGAATTCATTATTTTCCATTATTTATCCATATATCGTATTGTTAATTAACCTTATCTAAAAACTTTTTCATTGTATTTTGACAAATTATCTTTTATTTTTTTACTTCTTATTTTTACTCCCTCACACACTCTCTCTCTCTCTCTTTCTCTTTCACTTTTTCTGATCTTTTTCTCTTTAATATTAAGGCTGTTTATCATTCCTAATTTTATAACAACAATGAGAACAAATGTAATTCTTGATCAATTTTAATGAACAAGATTTCAATTTAAAGACGAAGATTTAATTTCTGTCTAAGATTTTTTCGAATTTAAAAAAAAGGAAAAAATATTTCCGTGATAAAAACTATTCTCGAGAAGGCATTATTTTTTAACAGAATTCTTTTTCGAAGAAAAATTAAAACTTCTTCAAACGTTCGAAAAAGCAGAATCATGGATTATACTTTCGACTTGAAAATGGGACTCATACATCGAAATCGATCAATAATTATACCTGTTCTCATTGTTGGCGTAAACCGTTATAAAGTCAAGAATGATGAACAGCCTTAATATAAGAAATTTAGTATCGAAAGATAACGCGGATCTTATTTTTTCTTTAAAGAAAAAAAAGATACAGATGGCGCCATCTGGTCGAAAAAAAATTAACCCTTTTCAATGTTCCATTCTGTAAATGCACAACGATGACGTATATACGTTTTAATTATTAACACGATAAATAGACGTATTATTTATAGGTTCTATCACTTTTTTTCCTTAATTATAAGTAAATATAATATTTATTATATATATGTATATATATATATATATACATATACAAATATAATATTATTATAACGAGTAAAAAGCAAACATAACTGAATCGCGCGAAGTTAGAATAAATTGGGATTAATTCAAGTTCAAATAAACGTTGATATATGGATACTACGTGCGTTAACATAATCATTAATATTTCCCATTGAAAATAACATATATAATTCTTTGTTAATGTTCCTTTCGTCCAAGGGTTATTTTAATTTTCATTTATAAAAAATATGTTAATATTTAATTTGAAAATGGCATTAAAAACAAATATTTGATTTATCCGATTACGTCGGGGATAATAAATATTAAACAGTTTGGAAGATAATGGCGTTTCCCGACAATTATCCTTTTTTTCTTTTTTTTTTTGTTTTTTCTTTTTTCTCCTTTTCTTTTATTGTTTTTTACTATTTATTTCATTACAATCGAGAAGAAATATTTCACAATTTCCTTTAAGATATAATAATAAAAAGAAAGAGATAATTTTCTTTAACAATAACGTTTATTTCTTTTTTTTTTTGTATTTATTATTAATAAAAGCTTTATGTATAAAACGCATCTGTACATTCGTAATATCATTAAAGATCGTATTCAGTCTCTCCACAAACCAATTACGAACGGGCCTATATTATTTTATCATTATAGAATTATGTTATTCGACCATATATGCGTATCAGAAAGTGATATATATATATATATATATATATATATACACATATATATATATGTATATATTGAACATAAAAGCGCATGGTACAAGAACATAAAACTTATCGCGTGTCTATTTCAAATTCATATTGACAATTTGTAATGCACTTTCTTCTTCTTCTTCTTCTTCTTCTTCTTCTTCATTGTTTTTTGAAATCGTACAAATTATATGTTTTCATTCATAATTAGTGAAATCCTATTAAGAATCATAATATCACAATAATCACGTTTAGGAAACAAAAATAATGATCTATATAATCCTGGCACGATAAAATAGATGATTAGTATATTACTTGATATACATTAGTCGGATACGTCAATTTAAAAATTAAGGAATATAAATTTCTATCGTTTCTTGTCGTATTCTTAGATATAAAATAAAAGAAATAAAAATTCGCGCTAATATATTCGTTGCAGCAATTTGGAATTAAAATTTCGTCAAGATTTTACTGTCAAAATTAAGATCTACTTCTGTGAGAGAATTTCACTTCATCCTTTGATTCTTTGGTTAGCAAAGTATTATCGTTACTTGCTCTAAGAAAAAAAAAAAAAAAAAAAAAAAAATCTATCTCGGCAAATTATGAAAATCCTTAATATCTATAAAAGTATGTCTCTTTCTCTTTCTCTTTCTCTCTCTCTCTCTCTCTCTCTCTCTCTCTTTCTCTCTCTCTCTCTCTCTCTTTTTCTCTTTAAAGTGAGTTCTATTCGCTTTGTACTCTACGCTAAGAAAATTATTTCGTGGAATTATCTAAATTTCATGTGCCACGCGTTCAAATTCATTTTAAATTAAAAGGAACTGTGTTTTTATGAGATAAGTAATTGGATTATAAAAGATTCGAAATATTTAACAGCACGAAAATAAATTGTTGCATTGAATAAAATCCATGTTGATAGCACACGATCGTTGTATGAAAACAACGAATTGTATATCGTGCTTTATGATTATTAGCGTAAACTAAGTTGAAAAAGAATCATCCAATGTTAAGTTACCAGACGAATTTCTGCTATCGGGTGATTGCATTGCAATATATCGTTTACGTAAAATTTCTTGTAAGTCATTGCACGGACTATTTACACGTTTCATTTGTAATGGCCGACCTCCAGGTGACCTAAACGCATAAAATCATATAATTTAACATTAACAATGTACTCTTGCATCGTTACTCATATAAATTTCAATCTAATACTTTTATTTACCTTGCGATCGGCCTCAATTTGACTTTATCAATGTCTTTCAATATATCACCCATTGATTTCTGTGTATTTAATGGCACTTTTTTACGATCTTCAATTTTGTGATCTTGTAAACTGGCCCTCCTCGCAATGTGCGGAGTTGAAGGTGGTGGAAGCGGTGGTGGTGGAGGTGGCTGAGATTTAAAATCTTTCTCGCTGGACAATGATGCAGCTGATGCATCTATAATGCAGATTTTTTTTTTTTTTTTTTTTTTTTTTTTTTTTTCTTTACTTTTTTTTCCCCCATCCCAATGAAAATATCTCTCCTTCTCTCTTTTTCTCTTAATAGGTATGTAATAATATTAAAGTTTATAGAGATGTATATTATATATAATACTTACACTGCGATTGTTTACTACTTTTAACTATTACCGATATCTGCTCTCTGAGCTCTTGTAATTCTTGTTCTAAAGCAAGTAAACGAATTTCAGAACCAAAACTAATTGGTTCCAATAAATCCGGTCTGCTACCTAATAACCTACCACTGTGAACATAATACCAGAAGTATATTATTTATTTGATAAATATAAAATAATTTATTAAAATAATCGTACTTACCTTGTAGGCCCATAACCATTCGAATCAACATAATCATTGCTGGTTTCCTCATTAATCATAGAACTTGTCATAGAATGAAGAGGTGTTACGCTTACATAGATTTTTGGAGGTGGCCTTAATGGTAAAAATGATCCAATTCTGCGAACGATACTCCTTCTTTTACCATAATATTTAGGTGCTTCACCCATCTAAAATTATAATTAATTTAATCTGTTTTTAAAAGGTATCTAATTGTTATACAACTTCTCGTTACGTTCCAATTAAAAAGTTTACCTTCCTTTAAAAAGAAAAATATTTAGGTTATCGTACGTCTATTTGTTAGGAGAATAGAAAGGGAAAGAATAAAAGCTCACCTTTGAATTTATAAAATGTTTTTTCGGAAACTTGTTACTTTTAAGTTCCAATTCCAATATGATACATGAACACGTGTAAGATATCTGGCAGAGTACATCAGGGTCATTCGAAATTTAAAACGAAAATAGCTTCGTTACATCGACGCGCGGCCAACATGCAATGACTGCACAACGACAGGTTGTTGAAAGCAACGTAACCAAGCGAAACAAAAAAAGCATAAATTTTATTATATGAATTCGAAATTCGTGATATATTTGATATCACTAATCAATTAATATATATTTCATAATGCTCGAAATATTATAACGAAGTATAACGCATTATTTCTATATATTATTAAAATATAAAATTTTTCTACGATCATTTCTCAGTAACTTTATCGATCGTCGATAATTATCCAAATTGTAGTTTATTTTTTTCACCGTACGGGGCGTTAAAGTTGATTTTTTTTTAAAACAGTTACTTCGTATTCGATAGATACAATAAATTCGTAATATCATCAGAGAAGTAAATTTGGTACCTTTCGTAAATTTTCATATGTAATTCAACAAAATTGTGTTTTTTTAAGTCAATAACATGTGGAAATTCGTAACGCGGGGCATTCGTGAAACATTAGAACGACGATTAGAATGCCGTACCAATATTTATTCTCAAATTATTCGAGGCAATAATACCAAGAATGAAGTTAAAAAGAAATCATTATCATGCAATCAGGAATGTATCGGTACCAGTTATTCCGCATATAATAATGAATTTTGTGAATCCACGAGATCTAAGGGTGCAAAAGATAATAATGAAGGTACCAAATGGAATACCAAACATAATTGGGCCGAAGCAGTTGGCTGGGTAAGCAGAGAAATTGTTTTTCTAAAGTAATTTCTTAAATATTATATTAATATAAATGATTTAATAATTGTAATACAAATGTAACATCGATATTTTTCTTAATTATAATATAAATATAATATCGACAATTAAATATACTAGATATTGATGATATAATAATTAAATTTCTGTTAAGAACAATTATATCAAAGTTTGACTATTAAATAACAATATGAAAATAGATTAATATTGAACGAAACGTAATACTTACTTTCTTGTAAAAACTTGATCGATATCTGTATAATAATGTAATTATTATTAAATGACATTATGTGATCAAATTATATATTAATTATAAACAATTATTTTGGAATCGTCCAAATGTATATATGTGTTTTTGTAAAACACACGTATACTCGTACACACGTACGAGCACGTGTTTGTGTGTGTATGTGTGTGTGTGTGTGTGTTAGGGTAATTAGTAATTAAATTTTTTTTTGTATCCTTTTTACAGTCTAGTGTATTGGCAGTTGGTTGGGTAGTCTGTCAATCTTTATGTTTTCACAGAAGATTTTTTAATAAAGATAAAAATGAATTATTAAATTTTGAAATATCACTATTATCCAAGGCTCGCATATCTTATCTCCTTAATGAAATATTACATCTACAACCAAAAAATATATTACCGGTTACTAATTGCATAAATACAACTAATAAGTATATTAGTAAAGAAAAGACCAATGAAATTGAAAATAAAGAGATATTTGAAAAATCATTTGGGCCTATCACAGTCGAAGAGGTAAGAATGCTGCTGTTAAGACATTATGCACTCTGAAGCTTACTATTGCAAATTGAAATATATTATTGATTAAAAAGATACATATATATATATATATATATATATGTATACTTTTCTTATATAAACTATATTAAATTATAGTTATAAAACGGAAAAAATATTTTATTCCGAAAAATCTAATATTTGTTCTGTAAAAAAAAGTACATGTATTTACGTATATCTTATGTGTAGTTGTAAATAAATAATATATATATATATGTATATAATAAAGCATTTATGTTAATTATCTTTTTATTTTTTTTTTTTTTGTGTGTTAGTTACAGCATTATTTGTGTAGTATACCCATGTTAAAAAGAATTTTTATATGTCATCATATATTCTTATAACATTCTAATTAATTTTTTTTTTTTTTTTCCTAAAATTAAGTTTAAAAAAAAATTTAATTTTCTTCCCTCTCATCTACCATCTCCTATTTTTATAAACTTTTTCCTTTATGATTATTAATAGTTTATTTATATATAAAAAATTATAGAAAAAGTAAAAAAAGAAAGAAAATATTTATAAATCATGGAATAATATGTCGTATTTAAAATTTTTCAAAAAATTTGAGAAAATATAATGTTACGTTATGATTTTTTACAATGATTTAAAAAAAAAAAAAAAAAAAAAAAAAATCTTGATATGTATATTGGAATTGTATAAAACATTTATGTTTTTTAAATCCTTATAGAAATCTATATAATTATTGTTTTTAAATTTTTAGGCCTTCGATAAAGCTGTAGATGAATTAAATGATGTTCATAAATTAGTTATGGGAGAATATGAATTACATTTTGGTTTAAAAGCACTCGATGAAAAGCGTTACAATGATGCTATGAGACATTTTTCAGCCGGGACAAAATATTCTTCGGTTGAAAGCATGTTTAATCTTGGTCTGTGCTATGAATTAGGACTAGGAACATTGATAGATCATGCAAAGGTACATTATGTTTGAAATAACAACTATATTTTTAATTCGTAAACAAAATGTAAATAATTGTATCAAAAGAGAAAAAAAATTTACAAATATTAATTTTATAGGCTGCAAGGTACTATGATCAAGCGGCAAAAAAGGGTCATGCAGATGCAATGTATAATTTGGGAGTTTTTCACGCTCAAGGAAAAGGTGATCTTATTTTAGATTTGGACAGAGCACGTTTATATTTTAAAAAAGCTGCACAATTAGGTCAGATTCAAGCACAACAAGCGCTTGATTTAGAAAATATTACAGTACAATCAAAGAGTAATGATAAATATTCATTAAAAGTTGATGATTTCCATCGTGAAAAATCTTCTAAGAAGCTACTTGCAAAACTAGAAAATTATACTAATATATATAATAACCAATCGCATGCTGAATGTAATACAAACTCATCTAAATGCCAAAGCGTAGATAAAGTTAAGAATCCCACAGAAATATTTTTAGATTATTTAGGATTAACTGAACCGAATATAGTTCCAGTTACAATTAGTTTAGATGAGTGTAGAGTACAATGTTAAGTATTTACAGTACAAAATACTTAAATAAAGCGCAATATAATCCTGTAATATTAAGAAATGTATATTAAAAAAAAAATAAGTTTAAAATATTTTATCTATTGCTCTAAGATATTCTCTTTCATATTTCGTGAATGTGTTTATATTTTATGTATTTTATAGATTATATAAAATATTTTTTAATTTATACAAGGCTTTTTTAAGACTTAACATAATCTTAGTTAAATAAGTGTAACATTTTTGTAAATATTTAAAAATATACTGATATGGCTGTGCGATACAGAGAATAACATAGAACTTCAATTTCCAAAAAAGAAAAAAAATGATGTAATGTATATTTAAGGAAATTTTGTCTAAAAAGAATATTTTTATTTGACTAAATAAAATTAGTAGTATTTTCTATATATAATTATATTATTTATATATATATAACAAATTTGAAAAATAGTAAACATCATCATTTTTTTTTTGTTATCCTAGATATAATTAAATATATAAATGCGATAATTTTTATGTATTTAAAATTAAAAGATTCTATACGATAAAATAAGAATAATATCCAAAATCTTTTTCTTTATAATTATCATGAAAAATATTTTATATTTTTATATAATATTTGAAGTTATTATTGTGTTTCACCAATGTGCATCATGTTTCTCAACAGTTTTTTTAATCAATTCTGAATGACTAGCATACAAATTTAGCTTTGCATCAATATCCATCCATCTTACGTTACAAGCATCATCTCCAGCCGTTAAAGGTAATTGTCCAAAAGTATTGTTATCTTCGTCATGAAAATTTAAAGCAACAGTTTCTATCCAAGCGTTATCTGTATTTCGGGGATCGTCAACGTAACCCTTATAAATTTCAATTCCGTTTGTAAAAAATAAATTCATATTTGCTTCCATCTCATTGCGTTTGGCAAAATCATTTTCTAATAAATTCATAGCTTCTTCCATAAATTCTCGTTTCAATGTAACAGATATCATTTCTCCTGGATCTACCATACCTCCGGGTATTGCCCACTCTTTGCAATCTCTTCTCTGAATAGCTACAAATTGTAATACAGGTTTATTCGTAGTTTCATTTATTTCTAATATATCATTGTTATCTCTTTTCCATCGTGTGACGATTGGATCTGCCGCATGATTTGGTCCCCAACGACCTAAAACACCTCTTCCAACAATGCCTGTTCTACCAACAGGATTTAAAGGATAACCATCTTCATTTATAACATATTCTCCCATATAACTTTTACGATCTATTTTTCCTATATAAAATATTAAATAGATTGAAATAGATAATGTTTAAAGTATAGACTATGTACATATATAAAAGAAAAAATATATTTTTTTTGCTTATTATATATATATATATATACATATGTTCCATTAATCTATCATAACCAATAAAAATTAAAGTTTCTTTTCTTTTCATTAAAAACATTCTTGTCATTCAAAATAAAAAGTATAATAATTGTCTTGTATCTTAGGAATAATACTCGTACCATCTATTTTATTCCATTTCGGTATGAAAGAAACACTTCCAATTTCTGGATCTGCCCAAGGTTTGTTTTGTATACTAGGTGCTGTATATTTAATTGGTTCATATTCAGGATATTCCACATTCCATGGTACTTTATTCTCTTGTACTTGAAATCTTTTAATGTTTGAATGCGGATAAAATCCTTGTCTACATTTTTGATGAATCATTTTTACACATCTACCGTACATACGTGTAAGGGTATACCTGTTTCTATTTATTGACAAATGATAACCAATAATTCTTCCTTTATTATTTTCTATTTGATCCATATGTATTTATATACATATATACTTTGTTTACATGCCAACTTATATATATATATATATATATATATATATATATACATACATATAGATATATATATATGTATGTATGTATGTACAGTATAAATCATACAAATTATAAGCAATCAATTTAAATGTATTTTATTATATACCTTAGATTGAGATGTCTCACTTGTTTTAAGATATATGTATAATATATGCAAAAAAAATATCATATAAAAATAATAATGTTACACACACATTATATTATATACAATACTATATCATATAAGAAATTTCTATTGCTATTAATTTATCCATTAAAATGATATCCTTCATTGTTATTATATTTCAAATTGTTCAACTGACTTTTTTGTTTTTTGTACATTTTCATGACCTTCAAAAATGTTCATTTATCCGACAGTGTATCCATTTATATATAATTTCTGAAGAGAAGATACGTTTGTTCAGTGACTAATAAAATATCGTGATTCCCTCAAATTAAAATATTCTTAATAGAGGTAATATAATTGTACAAAGAATTTCGTTTCTACGTTCTAAAAAAAAAAAAGAAAAAGAAAAAAAAAAAGAAAAAAAAAAGCACTGCACAAGTACTTTGCCATCGAACATCTTAGTACTAGTTACAATTTAAAAATGAGCTCGCGAACGATGCTCGAACGAATCAGCTTTGTGAGAAGTGATATTTTAAAATTGGAACGATAAGTCTCGAAGTTTTATGAAATATAACTTGCACGTCATATTTTGTTGTTCAAATGATATATTAAAAGAAAAGTAATTTTGTACGTTGTTGTTATTAGAAAATATATAAAGTTATTTTTCTTATTTTCACTCAGTTACTTTTTATCTTAGTATTAATAGTAACGGATTTTTTCAGTCAATACTTACGTTAGCCCTGTTAATAAAATGTTTCGTCCAATTAAGTAAAAATAAAATATATTCTTTTTCTCTCTTTCTCTCTTTTTTTCTTTTTTTTTTTCTTTTTTTTTTTAAATAAACATAAAGCAATCGAGTTAACACATATGGCAAATGGAATGATCTGTCGGTAATTAAAGTTCATACGTATAAGTAAGATGTGACATGGGTGTATATGTATAGTGTGTTCACATTTTTAAAACGTGCTCTAAGTGATATGAAAAAAGAAAAAATTGCATTGTAATCGAAAATCTAATAATCTTCTTTATTCGTTAACAATAAATGGCAATGACTATTTTAGTACGTACAGTTCGCAATGCATGCAAGTGCAGATGTGAACATTGGATTTGCTATGTTAAAAAAAGGTTATGTTGCCCCGTTTTGTTATATGGATAATATAGTCTATCATAGAATTTTTAAATAATACGAACACTAAAGTTTCATGAGCATTAAGTTTGGAATAATGAAAGCTTGAATATAATAATGTGAGCACATCAAGAAACATTTATTACGGTCTATAGATTTTTATACGCTTACCTTATGTAAAAATATTGTTACATTATTTATATACTCATTACAAAAGATATTATAATTATCTAATATAAAAATGTGAAAGTATACCAAACTGATCATCTGTTTAATTAATTAGAAGAAGGTTCGTCTCTTATTTATTATTAATATAAGTAATAAGTATATTAATAATAATAAGTTGATCTATATATAATAATATAGTAAGATATATCTCGTCTACTCTAATAATATATTTATATAATATTATTACATAAAGTTTAAAGTCTGTGCATTTAATTCTATAGAATAATGATAATTATTTCGAAAATTAATAATTTTTTTACTTTAATGATATTAATGGAAATATAATCTATGTGCCGATTAAGATTAAATGTGAATAAACGTCAGGCCTTCTTCAACATTATACGCATAGAAAATGTGAAGACTGGAACTAATATGTACCATTATATTATTGCGTATGGATTAGTATTATCTCCAAATGATTAATTTATAAAAGTATATTGTTTACAAATATTTAGGTATTTGTATAATATATTCTTGCGCATTTGATATATATTAAGTATGAAATTGTCCATTTAACAATTAGAAATATGGTATCAAGAACTATTAAGTTTAATGCATAAGTATCAAAGAGCACATATATTTTGTGATCAGAAGAGTAAAAGAATTTTTAATCTGTACTATTACACATCATATACAAAAAATGCAATAGTAGTGCAATTGTTTCTTTATACAAAACACTGGAAGTACTTAATGCATATTATGCATAAATTTAAAGCTGTTGAGAATATATAATTCTTCCAAAACGTGGTTACTTGTTAAGTTTTAGATACATACATTGAAAGTCAGTTAACCATGACTGATATCACCACTCAAGATCTACAGCAATTAGTTATCTACTTCTCTAAGAATACTTATAAGGCTAAGGATGCGGATAGCGAAGTAATTATTTATTATGTCTATTATTATATATTAATTGTGCATATTCCTATTTCTATATTTTTTTAATATCTCTTCATAATTTTTTTAACAAACTTGAGCAATTTTTATTTTCAGAGTCAAGCCATTATGCAACGATGCCTGCTTCTTAGCGATTTAGATTATACTCATTCGATAATAAATAACAGTGGGGGTGATCTAAGTGCACATTACCCAAGTCATCTTATTATATTAGAATATGAAAAATCCAGAAATCCCACTACATGCGATACACCACCACCACTGCCACGCACAACAGAGACTATATATGAAAGCATGTATGATCCTATTAAACTAAAGGAATTAATAAAAAGCGCTAGATTTGCTAGATGTCGTTCAAGATTTCCACTGCCTGTAATACTTTACAAGGGTAGACATGTATGCAGATCGGCAACATTATCTGGTGGACCAGAAATTTATGGTAGATCGGGATTAGACTATTTGTTTGCAAGTAACGAAGGTGTAGTTTCTGTTCATGAGCAAGTAGATGAAGCATGCGGGGGAGACTCAAGGCTTAGCGATTGGCAACTATTTGACAAAGTTAGACATCAAGACATAAAACTTTTGAAGACTCTTAATGTAGGAACCATCATCGATTTAATGGTAGAAAAGAAGAAAGTCAAATTTGGAATGAAGTAAGCCTAAGATTTAAATTAAAATACAATTTTTTTAATCTGCATGCATTTCTTTATGATATCAAATTTAATACAATGAAAGGCTCGTTTTGGAAACTTTACAATTTGTTAAGTATGTGCATTCTTTTCTATAATTTAAAAAACAAAATAAAAAAAAGGAAGTAATACTTAGGAATATAGTGCAAGTAATTATTTATTTTATGCATAATTTGATGTCGATAATATAATCTGTTTAGTGTAAAAAAATTATGACTTCATGTTCTGAAATAGGAGAAAGTTGAAATTGTTATTAAGTGTATATTCGATCTATGGAAATAAGTTTTTTTTTTCTTTTTTTTTTTTTTCTTTTTTTTTTTATTAATGATTCTTCTCCACAGACACTGTAAAGTTTCATAATAGTTAATATAGCATGTATAGTCTGTTTTACCTTGTGAATCCTCTTTTAGAGGCCCTTAAACAGAGCTCTTTTGTTCGGTACTCAGCGTAACTTCTTCAGAGAAGGTAGACAAAGAGAAGAGGTATGCTGATTTCGCCCTTATTTCCTTGCCATATCCTGGGTGTGAGTTCTTCAAAGAATTTCGAGAGAATGATTATTGCGCCAAGGGTTTAGTGTTTGATTGGTCTCAGACTTACGTGGATGCACAAATTGGTATACCTGAAGATTCAATTTCTTGTCAGTTTCGAATAAATTGGGAACAATATCAAGTTTGGGATCTTATAAAACTAACTCAAAATTATTTAAAACTTATTTTGAGGTATTTGAGCGATAGTAGTAGTGGAATGCTGATACATTGTATTTCAGGTAATAAATAAGTCTTTGATATTCCATTTGTTATAACTTTGCCTTTAATATATGATATATTAAAGCTATATTTTAATTACAGGCTGGGATAGAACTCCTTTATATATCTCATTATTGAGAATTAGTTTATGGGCCGATGGTGCTATACACACATCGTTGGATGCGTACCAAATTCTTTATTATACAATAGCATATGATTGGATGCTTTTTGGACATGATTTGCAAGATAGATTAAGTAAAGGAGAAGAAATCTTTTTTTTCTGTTTCTTTTTTCTGAAGTATATTCATGATGAAGATTTCAGTATCAATCGTCATAACCGTTCTAAGCATCCTGTTTTACGTAATGACAGTGATTCACAGTTGGATAATGTAATGTTTGATAATGAATCTATCGTAACTCTCAGTTCAGTTAGTTCCAACTTAAGTCTGAATAGTTGGTGTAGTTCTGTTAGTCAGAATAGTAGGGATAGTCAGGATAATAATCCACCAGCTGTGTTTCAATGTGCCTCTGGAGACAACAGTCAGGAAGAATATCATAGTAATGGGTATACTTGATTTTTAAAATTTTATAATTTCCTTAATAAAATAATTGATTTTAACTTCTTTTTAATATCATTATTAATTAACATTTAAGTAAATAAATGTCATATATATGTGATCTTTGTTTTACAGAAATGTTGTACAATTTGCATTTTACCATTCTCCAAATAAAGAAGCACACGGATCTCGATCCCCTCTTCCTCCTAACAGAACATCTCCAGTTGCTGTACCTGTACCAGGTCGTCTTCGACAACGAAATGAATCGTCTTCTTCTGGTGGTTCATGGCAAATGATATCTGGAACTGGAAGTTTACGCGGTTCGACAACTGCCAATGCACCTATTGCAGATGCATTAACTTCTTCTAACTTGGCTTGCAGAAATTTGTGTGAAACTTTTGGACATACATCACAAGAATCTAGTACAACTATAATAGAAGATGAAGCATGCTCGTCGTCACCAGTACAGTAAGTTTTCAAAAAAAAAAAAAAAAAAAAAAAAAAAAAGAAACAAAAAAAAGAAACAAAAAAAAATTCTATGTAATCGTTTACTCATTGAAAATGTATAGGTATGTACGCTCGTATGTATTCATGTATAATATAACTAATATATAATGTGTGAATTATATTTTTTAGAACTCGCAAAGATAGACTGCAGTGTTTAAGAACAATATTTTATAGTGCTTATAAACATACTGGATTCCGTATGAAAGATAATTCTGAACCAGGAGGTTTAGGTCAAATAATCGGCAATTTTGCAGAGAAAGTAGGAATCCTTTGATGTTCAACATACATCTTTGTGACTAATATGTCATTAATCATCTTCCGCGAATCATCAGTTTTTCATTATTGACTTTTTTCTTTAACTCAGAAAATTTTTCAAATTATTAAAGAAAAATCAAATGAAATATTTGTATATTATTGTTTATGTGGACAATGTATTGTTATATGAAGTACGGTGTGTATACACGTAATACAAATAAAAGTTAATATTTTTTTATGTATTTACAGCATATATATATACATATATATATGAATATACAATGATTCTTCTTTGTTTAATGGATTTGTAGATATATTTGATATAATTATATAAACCTAGTTCTCAGCTCATTTTAACGAATTTTACTAATATTCAGTATATTGCACAATACAGCTTTATCATAAAAAAAAATGTTTCAATGTCATTTACTTATAAGCAAAAATCAAAAATTCGAATTTTATAACAAAAATATTTTATAAAAATTTATATAATTTATATATTGTATTATAGATTCATTAAATATACTATTCTTTGGGGTGGAACATTTTCTCTACAAAAGGGACATTGTGGTTTATTACGCAACCAGTTACTAATGCAAGGCCAACAAAATGTGTGACCACAGGGAGTTGCAGTTGTTGATATTGCTCCGGTACACAATTGACAGTTTTTATGAACATCTGTTTCCGCTAATTTTATAAGTTCTTCGTTATCCTTTTGCTGCGATTCATTTTGCCATATTCTTAATACAGTTTGCATTAAAGTTATAATACCAAGTAGCCTTAAACCCCAGCTAACTTTGTCCACTGATGAACTACCATAAACCTTAGAAATTAATAAGTCATCAAAATATATTAAATAGTTATTCATTCGTATTTAATATTATAATAATATAATATAATATATTTTGAAAAAAAATTTACCTTTGCATAATCTATTTTAGTTAATCTTTTACCTAAACTATAATATCTACCAGAAATATAAAAGAAACCTTTATGAATTAATACAAGTAGAGGTATTATTGACTGTAATCTTGTTAAAATCAAATTAAACAATTTAACCGACTGCTCTGTTAATTGATTACGAGGATCATTAATATATCTTTGTAATACGCCCAATTCTTTTAATAACATTCTTTCTCCAAAATATTCAAGAATCATACTTATAATCCTTGCCTAAATAAGAAAGAAAGAAAGATAATTAATTAAATATCTTATTAAATAAATCATTTTTAATGAAAATTAATTCATATCTTATAAGAATATATACATTTAAAGATGGAACGGTATAATTTTTAATATTAGCTTGTACGATCCCAGTATATTCTTCGCCTAAAGTTTGATTGCCCATTCCAGACGTGAAAAGAAAATATATCAATCTAGCTGGGATATCAGAGATTACATATTTAGATAAGGTTCTATAATTCTTAAAGCCATGTAATAAATTGTAAATCTTTTCTTGTAATAATGATATAAAATCCATGTCCCTTTGATGAGACCTAAGTATTTCTGCTTGATTGGCATATTTTAATGTTCTTTTTTGATGATATTTTGATACATCCTGATCTTCCCGAATATCCATTGTATTTATTAACCTGTATAAATGAAAATATATATTTTACTTGTATTTTATATCGTCATATTTCAAAATGATTTATCGAATATTACAATAGAAGTATATGTAATAACCTTAAAAATATTACATGTATTTTTCTTCATGTAATAAGAATTGTCAATTTAATTATAATAGATGATCCTTAATATAGATAAAAAAAATTTAATTGTTTCAAAATATTTAAAATTACATATATTTAAGATGCAAATATTTAGGACTTTGTATTTGAAATTTATTTTTTGTAAACGCACAACTAACCTTTTACATGAAAACTACTGACGTTAAAAAATACGATAATTTTTCTTTTGGACAAGATTTTTTGTATGTACGTATGCATATATACATATGTATTATTTAAAATTATCCATTATTTAACGTAACAAATATGTATTATGATAATTAAATAACTTTTGTATAAATATAATTATTATATAATAAGTATTTTTACTAATGAAAATTATTTTATTCAATAATATTTTTAAGAAACAACAATGTCATAAAGACAATAATGTTAATCTTTCTAAAAGTGTTCAAAAGAATTTAGAAAATATTCCTTTTGACAAATTTCAAATTATTGCGATTAGGAATTAATTCGTTTAAATTCCATAAGCGCTTGAGTTGCAGAAAATATATTCTTAGGTAGGATTTACTATAAAATGTTAAAAGTCATTGATAGAAGTGCTTACGTACGTATGAAAAATTAAAAGAAATTCAATCAAAGTCTAATTTTCTTTTTCCTTTTATATTCTGTGCATAGATAAATACATAAAGTTAGCGAAAGAAGTCAATTATAATTAATATTTACTTATTTTTTTAAGTAACATGATATTAATGGAACAGTCCAAAGTATTTACACTTACTGCAACAACAATGGAACATAATTTGAATAATCAATATAGTGATTATCAGAAAATAGTATGACTATATACACATATATATATATATATATTATACATTACACACATATATAAAATGATAATTTGACAGATTCATAGCTTATGAATGAAAACACATACTATTTGGAGTTTTCAATTGTTTTTATTTTTTCACATAATTTTCATCAATTGCACATCATGCACAATACTCTAATCTTTTTATACTATTTTACAAATTTGTTTCTTAAAGTTTTCCAAAATAATTATTTACTGTAGCCATCGGTTTATCTTCTAACAACAATCGTCGATCACTAATAAATTTGTTCAATTTTAGAAACAGACGAAAAGTTAAATTTCGTTTTCCAAATGAATTACAAATGACAATGAGCAACTTAAAAACTTTAAGGTTATACATAAAACAGATGTCACTTTAAGACACGTCAATGAAGTTAATAACATTATCACCATCTATGAATGATTCTTTGAAACTTTTTAAAAATTGTCCTCTTATATAAATGTATCCTAGGAAGTAATGATACGAAGTTGGCCACATAAGTTGGTTCATCGATATTTTCATAGTTAGCAACATTGTTGCAATTGTTTGAAATAACGGGATGATACAATATCTTATTACATTAATACGGAAATAATATCGTAGTTTATTCGAATTGATAGAGAGTTACCTTTTTGAGAAATTATTGTAAGAGAAAGAGAAAAAGGAAAGGGAAAGAAAGGAAAAAGAAGAAGAAGAAAAAGAAGAGAGAAAGAAAAAGGTGAAAGAGAGGAAAAAGAAATTCCCTAGAACAAATATTTCAAGAAAGGGATTGCAATCGGTAAAGGAGGAAGAAATTAATCGATTGCGTCTCGCGAGAAACAGTGGATGACGGCAGGACGATCGCATTGAATAGATAGAGGGCCATAGCAGCGAAGAGCAGAGAGACATCGCCCTAGATAACGGTAGAATCGTGCGCGCTGCTGTCGCCTTGCCTCTCTGCTCAGGCTCTGCTCTCGACGGTGTAATATTTTGCGAGGAAGAAAAAGTGGAAAAGCCGCGAGAACTCTGTTCGGTTTTGGAATTAAACAAAAAAAAAAAAAAAGGAAAAAGGAAGGAAACAAAAAAGAATATTAAGGAAAAAGAAATAATAATAATAAATAATAATAGTAACAATAATAATAATAATAATAATTAAGAGAACATAAAAAGGAAGGAAGGAAGAACTTAAGTCCATCGAGAGAGAGAGAGAGAGAGAGAGAGAGAGAGTGAGTGCGAGAGCGAGAGATAAATAGATAGATAGAAGACTTCCAGCTCATAAGTGCGCGTGTGTTTTGTGCTTGTGTGTGGGTGTAGGTGCGTTCGCGTGCGTGCGTGCGTACGTACGTTCGTTCGTTCGTCGTGCGTGCGTACGTGTATATGTGTGTGTGTGTCCCCGTTCGTCGTTCTCGGTGGTGACGAGGACAAGGTGGAGCACGACGAGAACGGCGGTGGGCAAGGTGGAACGTGAAAAAAGGAAGACGGAAAAGAACCTAGGGATAAACGTGACAGTAATAAAAGTGACTAAGAGGAAAAATAATAGAAATATAATAGCTGCTGCCAATGGTGGATCCCTTTTCCCCCTACTACTACAACAAGAAGCTTTTCGCGAGTTTCACGCGCCCCCTGACACCTTCGGTCTTCCTTCTTTCTCTCACTCTCTTTCTTTCTCTCTCTCTCTCGTTTTTTTTCCCTCCTTTCGGTTTTGCCTTCCGCTCTCTTTCTCTTCTCTCTCAGTTACCGACCGTACCGCGACCCTCGATGACCCTGCAACCGTGCGCCGAGGAATCGAACGGCGAGCCAGAAAACAACTAATAGCGCTGCGATATATCCTTTCGTAAATCGGGATACGAGTGTGTAAAGGCACGCTGGGGGAGAAAGAGGGAGATAAGAAGAACGAGGAGATAGAGAAGGAAAAAAGAAAGAAAGAAAGAAAGAAAGAAAGAGAGAGAGAGAAAGAAAGAGAGACGTAGAAGAAGAGGAAACGAGTGAGAGGTACGACTAGAGTCAGAGAGAAAGAGAGAGAGAGAGGGAGAGGGAGATCGAGTGTGCGCGCGCGCCTGAAGGAGAGGGAGGAAGAGAGAGAGAGAGAGAGAGAGAGAAAGAGATAGTTAGATAGAGAGAAAGAGAGAGAAGAGAAGTGAAGAGAAGAGAGGAGAGAAGAGAGAGAGAGACTGAGTGAAGAGAGGGAGGGAGGGAGGAGTAAGAAAGAGTCGTTGGACTCTCCTCCATTAGCCAAAGAACGGATACGTCGTTGGAAGCGGAATCTAGGAGCGTCTCCGAAACGGCGTACACGAGGTAAGCTTTGAACGGATTGACGTTCGTACTACACTGCAAGCGTCAAATGCGCTTTCTAAAAAAAGATCCCCGTTCGAGTCTCCCAACCGAGCCCCCCTTCCTCTCTGTCTCTCTTTTTCTCTCTCTCTCTCTCTCTCTTTCTCTCTATCTATCTCTCTTACTTTCCCCCTCTTCATAACCTCCTCTGGTAGTGCTGCCTGCCTGCCTGCCTTCCATCGCGAGCTCTCCCGTGGAACCATGATCGTGGCGTGGCATGCTAACCGCCGACCCCTGCCGGAAATCGACGAACGCCGGTCTCTCCTCCTTTGCCTCTCTACCCCCACCCCTTTTTTGTCACAGAAAAACCACGGCGAGAAAGCAAAAGAGAGAGAGAGAGAGAGAGAGAGAGAGAGAGAGAGAGAGAGAGAGACATGAACGTTCCGAAAGCATTCGCTTTCGACATTTTCTTTACCAACAAGATCCATCGTGTGTTATCGATTACTCATCGTTTAAGATTTACATTAGATCATGATATACTCCTTTCTTTTTTCTGTTTTTTTTCCCTCGTTATCTTCTTTTTTTTTTCTTTTTGTGTTTTTGTCTCTCTCTCTCTCTCTCTCTCTCTCTCTCTCTCTCTCTCTCTCTCTCTCTCTCTCTCTTTCTCTCTCTCTCTCTGTCTCCACAAACGTACGCTGCCTTACAAATCTTTCAACAGTAAACATATTTTATTCTTTTTTTTTTATTGCTTTTTTATTTTTTTTTATATATATTTTTTTTTAATTATTATTATTATTACTTCGAGTCAATTACTTCGAACTTGGACTCGGATTAAACACGGCGCGCGTTTCGAATTACATTCGTTCGTTTTAAACGAGTTGGAGGACGTAATTGCACCGCGAAGGGAATTCGCTTCTTCTCGTACGTTCTCGACTATTTTCACGCCCGATAACTGTGTCGCTCGATTCTTGTCAATGAGAGAGAAAAGAGAGAGAAAGAGAGAGAGAGAGAGAATAATAATATACTCTTTTTAAAATATTCGCTATAATGAAAAATTCAATATTTAAAGATTATTTTTCGTTCGTTCAATGTTTTACTTTAATTTCGAACAATCTTCAAATTAGATTTTATTTTCATGCGAAGATAAATATTAAATACGTGAAAAAAAAAGAAAAAAAAAAAAAGAAATATTATCTGTATCTATCGTATATTACGTCATCCATATCGAAATGATATTTCGTATTTGTTATTAAATTTTTCAAGAAATATCTCGTATTAATCGGAAAATCAATGTTCTTCAATCAATCATCGCGATTTTGTTTTTTAAATCGGTTAACAATCTCTGTCAAAGTATCAATGATATTTTTTACATGCTCCGTTGTGTTTCAACTCATCGTGGATATTTCCTATCGTCTGTCTGCGCTTGCGCACGAGAACTCGATTAAAAGTTCCATTCTTTATCGTTACAAATATTTAGTCTGTTATTCATTTTTTACTCCTTTGTATATATCTCTCTACGTATTTTTCATGTATAATTATAAATCTGGGTTAACATAAATGAGGATAACTCGAAACAAAGAAATAGAAAAACTTATTGTGTTATTTATGTGTTATTTATAATCTTTGTATTTACAATTATTATAATATCAATGGTAATAATAGTACATGATACTTTCATCTTATTTTTCTATACATTTATATAGCGTTATGGCATAAATGCACAATTGAATTTATTTTTGAAACGTAAGCGTTGTTAAAATCTATTTATAATTTTTATAAATCTGTAACATGTTTTTCTAATCAATGACCTCATTTAATAATTAATGATTCTTCGTACTTTTAGATACACAATTTCTTGTTAATTTTAATATATGATATATATATACAATAACATTTGTGTATTCTTGAAATGTAAAAAGGAAAAAAAAACCTTTCTGTACTATAATTAATTCCATGTATCTATTTTTATCTTTTTATTGTTAATAATGCCGTCATGTACTATATCCAATGTTTTTATGTCAATTTAACAAATAACATCTTATGTGCGGTTGTAATTAATTGCACTTGTACATCTGCACCTTTATTATTAACAAAAAAATATTGCATATCATTTTCATTTTTTTACTCAAATCCACTCTAAGAAAGAAATAATATTTTGATGATTTCTTTTGCCTCACTTAGAATAATAATATTTTGACTTTTAATCTAAATTATCTTCATGTCTCCTAGCCGTATATTTTTGCTTACATATTATTACGCCATGAAAAATTAATTTGTCAGTCGCGTTGCGTTTAGCTGAAGAAATATTTAATTATTATAGTACGGGTTTGTAGAATCTAAATAGAATACTTTGGATTCTACGACGTTGATAGAAGCATTATAAAATATTATGTAAATGTATTGTCAATAAAATTTACGCTGTACAATCTTTACGCTCTGTAAAATTTAATTTTTAGGTTGCTGTTCTATGTTTATTACCCATTAGAAGTTTAGTTAGATAGTTAGATAAGTAGATTTGCATGAAATGAGGTTATTTGATGGAATCAATAACAATAACAATAACAATAACAATAACAATAACAATAACAATATAAATATAAACATATATATACATATATATGTATATCTATATGTATATCTATATGTATATGTATATATATATAAATATAAATATAAATATAAATATAATATAATATAATATAATATAATATAATATAATATAATATAATATAATATAATATAATATAATATAATATAATATAATATATAAATAATACAACATATCGCCTACCGTCGGAAAATCTGTCTATCGTACTGTATCTCGCGATTGAATTCTCCGGAGTGAAAGGATTAACTAAAGTATCAAAAGAAATATATACATACACACACATACACGCGCGCGCTTTTATTTAGAAATATACAGGTGACCTTGAAAACTTTGAAACCGAGAAAAATTATCTCCTCGTTGCTTTTTTTGCACTGTTTGCTTAGATTCTTTTTTTTGTCATTATTATTATATATTATTGATTATACATGTATTATATATATATATATATATATATATATATATATATATATGTATATATTCATATATTATATTCATAATATGTATATTATCAGGTCTGTTAAATTAAATATTAACAAAATAAAAGATCAATGAAGCTTTTTTTTTTACAATTACTTGTACTTGCATGAACTAATCAATTTTCGTGGGCTTCGTTTATATAAAATTGTTGATATTAAATGAAGAAATAGTTAATCATTCTTTTTTTGTCTATAGTTTTCACTTAAAGCGAAATTGCACCAAAAAAAAAAAAAAAAAAAAAAAAAAAAAAAAAAAAAAAAAAAAAAAAGAACTTTCCACGGAAATGTTTGTACTATCCACCATTAACGATAATTGAAAGAGAGTCTATACACGCGATTCGTATGATGTAAATCGTGCCGTTGCTTTGTATTATCAGACGTTACATCATATCCTGCCCACCTCTTATCTAGTCAGGATATGATCGTCTACGCGACACAGATTCCACGCTAGTTCTGATCGCTTTTCTTTTATTTTAAAAAATCCGCCGTTATCCTTTTCATAGATATTGTAATTACGTTGAATGATATCAAAGTATATTTCAATTATCTTATTGCTAGAAATACCTATTTCTGTGTATTTTATCTACAAAATGTTACTGCTTTTATATCAATTTCTCTCCTTTTTTATTTTTATTTTTATTATTATTATTATTATTTTTTTTTTTTTTTTTTTTTTTTTTTTTTTAATATTTAAAATCAACGTAAAAGGAAGGTTATGATACGTAAAAATTTTTCAATGACAGTATATATTATTATTTCTTGTAAAGTTTTAATACAATGATATGAAAAGAAAAAAAAGAGAAGAAAAAATAATATGAACGTATTATGATTCGTAATAAATTAAAATCTAATTTTGGATATAAAATTTCAAAAGGAAATATTATGTTTACAAAGATGGCGACGAGGAAATAAAAATAATTCGGATAAATAATTCGGACATAATTTTGCCGGTTATGAATTGATACAAAATAAAAATTATAAATAAATAAATAAATACATAAAAATTATAAATTAATAAATAAATAAATAAATAAATAAATAAATAAATAAATAAATAAATAAATAAATAAATGCAAAGTATATACATGTGCCCGTGCGCGTCTGTCTCTGTGTATTTATATATCTCTCATTGACTTTTGGCGCATTCGAATAACAGAATCTGGGTATATAAGCGGGACTTCGAAAAACAGAGAAAAATGGGGACTTTGCTCTTTTTATTCTTTCATTCGAGAATGACGCATCCCTGTGACACAGTTTTACACAATGGAACAGTCAGGCTGCTTTTAACGAGAGGCTTCTGTATATAGCACTCTTTATCATTCTTAAAGGACGGCGCCCATGCATGCGCGCTTATTTTTAATCGCCGTTGAAAATCTGCGAATGTGGAACGTCTTTCATTTTTATTAAATGTATTATATCTGTCTCTCTATCTCTTCGGTGAGATATTTTAATCATATTTTTTTCGGACAATAATACTAGTCGAAGGATGGATCCAAAGTTTTTGGTTGATATCAAAATATCAATTATTTTTTTCATAGAGACTTTTAAGGTTAGTTTTTTCTTTCTTTTTTCCTTTTTATCAGATCGTAAAAAATTTCTTAACCTTGTAGTTAGTTAGAGTCTGATTAAAAAAAAAAAAGAAGGAAAAAAAACAAATTAAAGATAATCTAAAAAGTCTCGACAAAGAGTCATCATCAGCTTTTAAAATCACCCAGAAACTTTTAGCCCACCCTATATTTATACATACACATACACATACACATATACATTGTCAGTGAACGCGTATCGATCAAATTATGCGCAACAGTCTAACAATAGAAATAGTATAAAAATAAAATAGTAATGGTAGTCTTTTTTTTCTTTTTTTTTTTCGTTTAGATTGTAAATACTTGTATCTTGAGATATAAAATAAAACGATCGGAAAATTATTAAGAAAAATTTACGAAATTATGGTGAAAAAAAAAATTAGTTGTTCATATATATGTATATATATATATATACATACACACATATATTGTTGAATTAATTTTGTTTCAGATCCTCTTCGCCATATTACTATATATAGAAAGAGAGAAAACGTGGCGGATTCGGCGATCACTTGGCTGTGACAACGTGCACAGATACATAGATAGAGCAAGGAAATGCGTGAATATAAAATAGTAGTATTGGGCAGTGGAGGTGTAGGCAAGTCCGCCCTCACTGTCCAATTTGTCCAAGGAATTTTTGTTGAGAAGTACGATCCTACGATCGAGGATAGCTACCGTAAACAAGTCGAGGTCGACGGTCAACAATGTATGTTAGAAATTCTAGACACAGCTGGAACGGTGAGGATTCATAACTTTTGTTATAAATGTGTATTTTATATATATATATTGTTTTATTATTTTTTTTTTCTTCTATTCACTTTAAAACAACCGGTTTTCGTTTATGTAGCTGTTTTATTACACACACACACATAGACACACACACACGCGTACGTACGTACGTACGTATATATACTATTCATTAATATAGAAACTATAACGTAATCACAGCGTGTATATGCGTTTTATTTGTCTCTTTAGGAACAATTTACAGCCATGAGGGATTTATACATGAAAAACGGACAAGGATTCGTTTTGGTATACTCGATAACGGCACAATCGACGTTCAACGATTTGCAAGATCTGAGGGAGCAGATCCTGCGAGTAAAGGACACAGATGATGTGCCAATGGTGCTTGTGGGTAATAAATGTGATTTGGAGGATGAAAGAGTAGTTGGCAAAGACCAGGGCGTCAACCTTGCCCGGCAATTTAATTGTGCGTTCATGGAGACCTCCGCCAAAGCCAAGATTAATGTGAACGATGTAAGTTTCCCCCCTTCGTTTTTGGTATATTTCTTTCTTCTTCTTCTTTTTTTTTTGTTTTCTTTTCTTTAACTTTTCCTATCATACAGAAAGAAAAAAGTAAAGCATGTGATTGAGAGAGAAAGAGAG